ATCTGCCCGTGTCTTACGCACTTCCTTAGATTGTGCCACTAGATGGGGACTGGGGAATTCTGGGAGCAGACCTTGCAGTAAAAGTCACGGCAAAGAATACACAGAGTTATCTTACTAGTAAAATGAAAATACTTGTGTTAGAAGGATATTGTGAATGTCAAATGGCCAACTTCTGCCCTTTGTGATCCTGCCAATAGAAATGCTAGGTATTATTGTTATTATTTGTCTTAGTTTGTCTCATTCTTTCTTTCACTCCTATTCCCTTTTGGCTTTCCTGAAGATTAACACGTGAGGAACAGCCCCAAATATATTTCTGCTTCTTGTTCAGAAATAAACTGAGACACAGAGTGCTGAAGCCAGGGCAGTCTGCCTTAGGAAGCTTCATAGGCGCAGACTGTCAGACCAATCACAAATGGCAACAACAAAACCAATCCAGACTTTCCTTTTTAAAGGATGTGCTGTTTCTGGCAACAGCATATTGGGAAAATTGTTGTATTAGGGAGAAACTAGAGCCATCGCTGAAGAGAAGAAAGCCTGGTGGATAACATGCCTAAGCACAAAATCGTAGACTGTACACTTAGACTGTACACTCATATTTTGCAGTGAGATTCTTCAAAGCTGTTGCATCTCTTCTGCATGCCGCACTCTTTTGGCAAGAGAAGAGCTGCTGCATCCTTGGGTTTTTGTCTCCTTACTGAACAGCTAACGAACTGTACTTTCCTGTGGCATCAGCAAGATTATTGATTTGTGCAGTGATCTTTATTACAGCTGTTGAATAGATCTTTGCTGAAGAGATTGCAGGGGCGTAAAAAGGGGACGTTGTGGTGGTTTTCTCCTGTGCTTTTTCTAAATTCTCTTGACTTTATGTATCTCATTACTATTTATGGAATAAAAATGGCTGTTTGACTGTTTTTACATGTTTTCAAGGTACTGTACTTCACAAAGGGAAGCCTGATTTACCCTTCCCTTGAAGAGATTCTAGTCATAAGTCATAAGTGAAAGGTTGTCATTAATAACTAATTTCAGCCAAAAGGATATGTATGATGCTTTCTGGAGCTTGCATGGAATTGGCCTTGCCCTGAAGTGCTTACATAGACTGTTTAGAACAGCAGGAAGAAAAAGCTCATGATTTATGAAGGAGATTATAATATGATCGTGCTAAGAAGGATAAGGCATGTGCCTCTGAGTTACAAAGCAAACAGGTGAGGGAGTGAACTTCATTCTAATCGTTAAATTTCCTGTTGCAGTTGTGTATTATTTACTTCATTAGCTGTTTGAAGAGTGAAACCTGCACAGTCAGCCTATTTACTGTGAACTGTTTACTGTGCTTTTGAGGCCTGTAAGTAACACTAGAAAGTGATATGATTGCCTTACATTTGGAAACAGTATGCCTCAAAGTTTATATTGTCCTCTAATTAGGAGACTAGTAACAGCCCACTGTATGAAGAACATTTCCCCCCTGCCCTCCTCTGCTGCCCCTCCCCGCCTGTCAGTCAATCAGAGATAAGAAAATTGATGCAAGAGTCAATAATCATTTGGAATGTCTTCACAGTAATCGCACAGACTTGAAGGAGAAGGGAAAGATGGTCTTGAGACAATTCTGTGAAGAGTGAATTTACAGAGGTTGTTACTGGAAACTTTTGTGAGTGCTGTGGGTGAGGTCAGATGTCCAGCTCAGCTGACTCCAGCTCATGATGGGCACAGGTACCAGAGTCAGAAAAGACTTCTGTATTTTCACAGGAGGAAAATTCTGCAGCTTGTGCTCCTCATGCAGTCACATTCTGGGCTTACAGAATTATAGATAGATTTCTTTACCTTGCTGAGATTACAGTAAAGATGCTGCGAATGTGAGGTCAAGAACGGAATCCAACTCTTGTAAGTCATACTGTATAAAATATACATACTGTGGGAGATAAGGAAAAATTGGGCTCTGAAGCTCGTGTTCTGAAAATTGGAGTGGTTTGACATTACTTTGTTTGCCTTAGGACAGAAACTGCTACTGTCCCAAAGAGGAAAACTTACACCCATACTCTGGCTTTTGTAATTAATAGTTTGGACACCTTAGTACAAACCTACCTTCACTGTTGATTTAAGGTAGGGTGCCAGACTGAAGTAGGATGGCTCTGATGTAGTGACACACTTCCTTCTGCTGACTGAGAGAAAAATAACCTCTGGGGGAGGAATGGGGAGGACAGCTGTAGGTGGTGAAGTTTTAAACCACTGCTGCAGGCTCTACCAGAATTCTCCTGTCAGTCCTGATTTTAATCTGGGCTCTGCCATGACTTGCTGTCTGTTGGGACATGTCACGGAACCTTTCTGCCTTGATTTCCCGAGGTGCAGTAGTGTTTGACTGGTTGGTAAGGCTATTGTAAGGATTAATCTTCAGTCTATTTTGAAGTTGCTAATTAAAAGGCGATTCCTTGACGCTGGACCTTTGAGAAGCTTTAAAAAGCATCTGAGAAGTTATGTCAGTTGGCTAAGGATAAGCCTCAACACTGGTCTTATGCTGCTTGTTTCTTCCCATTTGTGTGGATGATGACGTGCTGTGTTACATCCTCAGTGGCATGTTCACTCAGCACAGCTCATAGGAGAGCTCAGTTTCATTCGTCTTGGCACGGTGGGATTGGTAGCCTCACAAATGGGAGATAAGAATTGCCATGGAAGTCAGACAAAGCAAAAAGTTCTCTCTGATGTGCCAGTAGTGGAGATCAAACCCCTTGTCCTTATTAAGTAACTTTCTTGGTACATAGCAAGTGTTTGATGGAGAAGAACATGTGGGTGAGGATCTGTTGTGCTCAGCATCAGAGCTGATGTGTGAGGAACGTTTTGGTTCTTGAATTCATGCTTCTCCCAAGACTGCCTCACAAGAGTCCACCAGCACTGTGCTGGATGGGCTGGCAGCCGTCAAAAGGCGGCTGGTTGGAAAAGTCAAAGTTGATAGGTTTTTAAGAAGTAATGTTTTTAATGTTGAACTTTAAACCTATTTTAGTAGAAATGAAAATTATTTTACTATTGTTGTATAAAATTTTATTAAAAATTAAGATCAATGGGAATCCAAATTGACATTTTTGAAATTTTGCTGGAAAAAAGTGAGAATGTTTGCTTGGGATTGGAGCTGCCAAAGAAACAGGTTTCAGTTTTTGCCCTGTTTTGATTTCTGCAGTCTAGGTATTGATTTTAATACCTGCGAGAATGACCAAATCTGAAAAATAACGATTGCCAGATAGCCAAGAATCCCCTTTTATCTTTTATAGCAGAGTTCAAATTGCTGTTGCAGGTTTCTATAGAGAACTCCTTGAGCTGCTTTGTTTTCTTTGGATATCTGCAGCAGTGCTGATCCACTGCAGAAAGCTTGGCGGTCTTCTGCTGTAAACGAGCAGGAGCAAATATGTGTATTGGTGTCAAGAGAAAGGTATATTAGTGCTGCTTCGGGTGGTAGACGGCAGGTGTAAAAGAAATGGATTCAGGAGCTGTGGAAACAGCAATAGTACTTGAGGCAAAGTCAGCACCACAGTCCAGCAGCATGGACAAAATACTTTATTATTGCTCCTTTCTCTGCTTTGAAGCAGCATAATTAACCAGGAGCTCGGTTCAGGGGGATAACTACTCCAGTACAGTTGTTGTAAGTTGAATTACCAAGGCTTTACATTTGGTAACCTTAAAGGAGATTTGGGTTTTTGGGTGGGTTTTAATCTGGAATGATTGCTGTCAGGGTAAGAATGGCGTTTCGAGACACTGCATGTGGAATGTTGACTTCTTTTTTCTGTGTGAAATAATATCCCTCCCCTTTTTCTCAGATAAGCTACTGTTTTCTCTGCCTGTGAAAATCGTTCAGTGTTTTAGCTGTAACGGTCAGGCACACTGCAGATAGCCTCGATAAACGTACTGTTTGGAATAGCGTCAGAAATCTTTATAATGATGCCAAACCATTGTGCTGGGGCAGTTGGTGGCTGTACCAGTGCCCCTGCACCACAGAGACACCATGCCTACTGCGCTTGCCTGGCTGCTTCCCGGAGTGCCCTTCTGAGGCCTGTAAGCAGGTGAAGTGCTGCCTGTTCCTGACCTGTTTGGGAGGCAGTTGGGAAAGAGAGTAGCCAGGGACAGACGGATGAATTGTCTTGCTGGGCTGGGCTCATGGTCCCTGAGGGGCAGATGCCCTAGATCTGTGCTATAAAAGCAGTACCAAAGTGGTTTTCTAGACCATTTTCTAGATACTTGGATAGAAGGGAAACAATTTTCTGTGCTTACATCAGGAATTCTTACGGTTCTCGCCTTAAATGTAATGTTGCTGTGTGGGCTCACTTAGGCCTGGCTATGAAATGAAACTGAGCAAGCAGACACGTTCAGCCCAGCATTATTTTTCTTCTGAGGAAGGTACAATCTGTCTGTGAATTAAGCTGTTTCCTGGATGTGCCACAACCTGTAAGTGATCACCTTTTGACCCAGCTTTGCACTTCTGATGCTGGGTTGCAGTTGTCAGAGTAACCACTGTGCTCTTAAATGGGTCATTTTCTTACTGCTCTCATTTATTTAGCTTTATCAGCTGGGGGCCTGGCTTTCAGGGGCTTCAAGCTGTATTTCTCAAGGGGTGCTTTTAGTGCCTTAGATATTATGTCACACGACTTGTCTCCCTGGATAGTTTGGCTGCCTGCTCAAATGCAACTGACTGAAGTCTCTAAAGCTGCCACCAGAAGTTTTAATCTTTCAGGCATGGCTCTACATGCCATTTCTTTTATTTGCCTGCAAGTGCAGAATTGTTGTGCATACTTTATTTTTCAAAAGCTCTCTCAAATTGTTTCAGTTCTACTATTTGATCTAGCTTCATCTAAACCTGTTAAACTTCCTTCTAAATGCTAAATTCCACTATAATTCCTGTAATCTTTGTTTCCTCAGTTTATTCACTCGTTGTTGGATCTTTAAGTTAATTAATAGTTTCCAAGTTTGGGACAAAGAATACAGGGCATCTCAACAGCGATCTGTTTCCCGCTTGTGTTTTTCAGGTACAGTGTAAACTTGCTACTCTGCCCTCGGCTGTTGCAAACCTGACCTAAGAGACAAGCTAAGAGGAGAAATAGGGATTTATGTGTTTGTACTAAACAGGTGCCACAGGTGCTTACAGAGGCCAGTGAAATGACAGAACCTTGCCCAAGGCCTTTATAGCCTGGATTAGACATAAACACTGTTTAGTTTTATGGCCACTTGGCCTTCAGCAAGCTACTGCTGTAGGCAGTGCCACTGGTGGTTGTGTGTTAGGTATAGATGCCATCCTGGTGGGAGTGCCTGCTTTCTAAGGGCCATCATCTGGCCTTTATTAGATTGTGAAAGGCATGAATCAAGTGATCTAGAAACGAAAAGCTATTTGTTACTACTTAAACCTTTCTCTTTTGATGACTTGAATAGGCTTTGGAGTTTCAAGCCATTTCCTCCCTCTTCTCCCGCCTTTCCTCCTTAGCAGGCAACCACATCACTTTTCCTTTAAGTTTCACTGCAGCCCAGCCACAAAGGAATTATTTCATCTTCAGTCTGTGTGATGTGCACAGCACAGGTCCTCATGCCCTTGTCTTCTAACCCTGTGTGGCGTTTGTACCGTTGCGAAAGCAAGCTTTTCTCGGAGCCTTCCCTCATAAAATAGTGTCAAGTCACATGGATTGGAACCTTTGCCTCCCTTACCATTGATTCAGCAGCGATACTCTAAGGTAATGAATACTGCGGTCGTTCCTTTAACATATGCCGCTAACAAGTGTTCCTCGGTGAAAGCTTGGTGTGGGTAGATGTAAAACAGGAGGAATCGCTTTTGTAAGTATTTATGGCCCAGTTAACAGGAAGTCAGCCAAAAGAATTAACTGTGTCAAGAGGGCATATAGAAAACATATAGCACGTGCAGGTTAGAGGGGACCAAGTCTATCTATGAATCATAGCAGCTGTAGTGCTATGTAAGGAATACGGTATTACTCATCAGAGCACCAGATTACTATTGCAGGGATCACAAAACCCCCGTGAATTCTCATTGCAATCACGGCATCATCTATTTGGAGGAATTCTGGATAGTAAGTGCTAAGAATTAGCAGTTCTAAAATAACCAGTTACAAATCAGAGTGGGACAGCGGTTTCACGAGCTGTGGGAAATCCTGAGTCTACTGGTAAAGTTGGTTTGAGAGGCTTATGTCCATAGTTAAGTTTGATTGCTCTGATTAGGGCTTTCTGCAAACAAATTGTCACTCAACTTGTTAATTACTATAATTCATAACACTTACTCCTGCCTTGTTTTCTCCTGGTATGACTACTGGCAATTCTGCCCTAGAAATGAAGGTCAGATTATTTTAATTTGAAAATTGGAGTGATTCTTTTCTTTCTCTCTACTTTTATTTTAAGGAAAATACAGAAAGTTAGTATTCCACTGTGAATTGTTACAACTGACTATTTTTAGAGGTTCTTTGGTCAGGTTTTTTCCTCCTTGCTATTTTGCAGAGGTGAGCCTCATTAATAGTAGTTCATATGTGATCAGTTCAGATTCTTCATCTTGTCTTACTCAGTGGTTGTGACTGTTGACTTTCAGTCTTAGATGGAAAAACTTACTTAGTTACATTTTACATTAAAAATTCCAGCATTTAGTCCATTAAAAGCAGTCTGTCTCCTTTTGTTTGGATCTGCACATAAAAACTTCAAAACCACACACATCTGTTGATGATTACCACGAAAAGTACGTTTCCCTGCACAGCAAAGTTTGTATATCCTAATGGGTAGGAGGTGCTCTTCTCTGAGAACACGGTATTGATCTCCAGGATGTGCTCATCAGGAGTTTGTCAGCAGAACCTCCATTCATTCTGTCTGCTCTGACAAAGTCAGCACAGCAGTGCAGCTTTGGTAGCCAGGACCTAGGTCATCGTATAAATGAATATTTACTTCTTAAATGGTGCCCAGGTGTATATGGAGAGCCAGTATCTATTCCAAAGAATTAGCAGTGGATACTCTCAAGAAGTGTTTGTAACCAGACGCACATCTTGAAACACATGAATGAGAATTAAATACAAATAAACGTGAGGAGTACATCTAAATAGCAAACTATTCTCTGGAAATGTGTTAAGTTTAGAGCCAGAAGACTGTTAGGTTTGTGGGAGGAGGGATAGACTTTTCATTTTCCATTGAGACTGTGATTTTAGCTAGCGGTTTGAATGGTTGCAGTACAGAAATATTATTTTATCTCCTTAATTCAGGATTAATCAATTATTTGAATTCTTAAAAACCCCAGAAGCAAAACCAAATCTCTTTCTATATTTCTTCTGTAGTCAGTATTTTGCAGTGTTACTAATTCATTTACATTTTTCTGTGCTTTAAAACTAATTTCCCCTGTGTTGTACTCTATTTTTATCTGTTCAATATTATTCCAGCTAAGATGATTGCAAAGTCTGTTGAATCAGGTGTGAAAGTAAACAACTCCATGTTTTCAGCGGTGTTTACAGAGCCAATTATCTGGTATTGGAAAGTAACTTCAGTTCTGAGATGCTGATTCCTCTCCTGACCCCAGTGTCTCTTCTACATGGTCAGCTCCTTCAAGTATTAGTTCCTGTTCAACGAGATTAACAATAAGATTATTTTCTGTCCTGTTCTTGTTTCAGAGACATCCTCTATCAGCAGCACGCTCCTATGACCTGCCAAAGCTGTACCGAACTGAAGACTTTTTTCCTATGAACTATGTAGGTACTAAGTATCAAAATAATTAATTTTTGACTACCAAAAGGTTTTTAGGAAAAGCTGCCTGAGTTTATCCTTACGGTTCATATTTTATGACATTAGGAAGAAGCAACTACTACATTTCAGATCTTTGGCTAGCATCTCTAAGGGAAGCTCAAAATTTCTGATCATATTGTAGCTATATGGAGGCTGGAACTTCATTCCAAGATTTGATCACTGTAGTTTGCACTTGCTTGATAAGCTTCCTAGATCAATGAAGAAAATGTACAAAAGCTCACTTTACCTTCACATTTCTATACTTAAAATGATCAGAAGGTTGAAGAGTGCTCAAGTATAACGTGTTAAAACTGTCGAGTAATGTGCTAATACTGCCAGCTTCACAAATGCACAAATATTCAGATTTTACAAGAGAACATGAAATCAATGTCAACATTTTTAAATTCAATGAACTGCGCATGGCTGAAGCTTCCAGCACTCCATTTCAAACTAGGAAATAGGGTTTTACAAGCTGTTGTGTAATATAACTTGAATGGTATAAATAAACTTTCTGCAAAGCTGTTATGGGCCTTTGGATGTGCGGTTTTGTAATGCAGATGCTATTTAGCCAGGACGAGGAGTAGCACACTTCATCTCTGCACCTCTAGCTTTTTTTTTTAAACTTCAAAATAGGTCTAGGGAAACAAACCCCACTCAATTCTTTGAATAATTAACATTAGGAAGAGGTTACATACTTTTCAGGTGATTGGCTTTGCATACAGTACAATATGGAGAAACAGAAATAAATGCTCTTGTTTTAAAAATACCTGTGGAAAAACTCAAGATGGAGGGACCCGATGCAAATTCTGTAAGGGGGGAAAAAACCAGCTTATGGTGAAAGTAAAGCTCCATGGCTTTGAGTAACCATGGCGACCAATGCTTTTCTGATGCAGAAATAAATGAACTCAACCTTTTCACATTTATTAGTGGGACTGATGATGAAAGATAAAGTCGAATTAAAATATAAAGCAATACAAGACAGACCTAGTCAATGTCTCTGCCCCTGCAATGCAGGTTTTTGTAATGGATTATTACAATGAGCTGGAATTACAGAGAGGCAAATTAGTTATGAAAGGAACAAAACAGTCTTGGTTATGCCAACCTGTTTATCCAAAGACCAGCTTCTTTATTAACAGAAATGAAGAGACAGTACACACAACATATTCCTGAAATCTTTTGGTTCTGATGATAAAAATTGAAATAAACTTGTTCTAATACCATAGCAGTGTATGAAATGTATGTACTACAAGATGGTAAATGCGTTTACTGCAACTGTGTTAGTGGATAATTGAAACCTACTGATTTCTTGGTGGTAAGAATGATAGGATTTTCCTATAAAAATACTGGGTGAATATTCAGGTTTCTGTCTTGACAATACATGTCAAAGGGTCAAATAGTAATTGGCAAGTCCTCGCTACAGAAATGTGACTGCTGAACAGAGGATGGCAGCATTAAATGTCACAGGAACTTTCAGTAAGATTAAGAGCCTGTGAAAGAAAACTTCAATGCAGGTATTTCTGCAGCATCAGGTAAAAGGTTTCGGTAGAAATCCCGGTGTAGGTAACGGGTGAAGTCACAGTCCCCAAAGGGAAATGCTGAGACCAAGTGTGACTTCAGTGTCTGATGCACTGGAGAGAAAACTGGGAGTGTTGCAGAAGCTGTCTGTCTGTCCTGCTGGAAAATAACTGCTCGGTTTGGAGGAAAGCTTATGGACTGCAACTGTGCTTCACGGGGGGAGGGGGAGGGATGAAGGAGCGGAGGGTTGACCCGCTGCAGGTCAGGGCAATGACCAGTGCTTCAAAACAGGTTATTACAAGCCCACGTGAACGGCCATGGAAAGAAAGCGTCATATAAATGCAGCTACCAGCAACCCTCTCAGCGTGTCCTTGCTGCTCTCAGGTATTCCTCAAGTCAAGGGACGGGTCACACCAGCTCGGAAAGGGTTTCTGTTGTACCAAGCTGTCACGTGTCTAGAGACAACGTCTGTGCTCAACAACTCCTACTTCAGTCTTTGTTGCAACGTTTAGATTTCAGATCGCGTATTTAAGGTGGAAAACACACTTCGCTTTGCTTCAGTTCAGGTAAACGGACCAAAACCAATTCTCTAGAGAAGAGTCTGAAGTGAACGGTCTTTCTGCTCTGTTGTGCTGCCCAAAGCCTGGCCAGACCCCTGTTTGCAAGGTCTCCCACTGAATACAGCAGAATTTCCATGTCTGCTACTCTGCACGCACAGCTGGCCTGTTTCAAGCTCTGCTATGGAACTTTAATAATGTATGTAAATATCAGGTAACCTCCATCTCATAAAATGATAATGGTGCGACAT